GACTTTATTCCTATAGCAGACTTCTCTGTTTGTCTGTTGTACCTTTGAATAGATGCAAAAACGCCGTCTGTTTATGAATCCAATAGATGGAAAACAACATAGAAATGACAAACATGGAGGCAAAAGGCTAGTCGCATTCAACACAAGATCTTTTCATTTCTACAATGTAGAAATTCCTCCCCGGCCCAACTACTGTCCCGGATATTTCCCCAGTGAAATCATATTGTTTCTCGCAGTGGTTCTTAAACTATGTGTAACATGGGCCCTTGTCTCTTGAAAGTTAGGGGCCTCAATATGCATGATGGCGTGTAAAAGGGTTCATTACATTACAACAAACAGAAAGATAAAATGGTGTGGGGGTGGGAGGGAGGGGCGGGGGACAGCTCAGCTCTCTTACAAACTGTTTTCGCAAATGGGAAGGGGGGGGGGGGCGCAGTGTTTTAAACCCAAAGGGTTCAGCGCCATTAAATGCAACTGATAAACATGAACGGATACAACTATACAATGTATCGAATAACACAACAATTACGGACCAAAGAAGAGATGGCTGGATTACGGTTTTGACCAAAAAAAAAATCAGCAGAAACGCAGTATGACATTAACACAGGCTACATGACAACCGTGGCTTAGACGTTGCAAGTCCGACTCGAAATCCAGCGTACCGCAATCGAAACCCACTGCTGGCTGCGTGGATTTGTATCATGGTATGGGGCATCGCAGGTCGACCAAGCCTAAAATGGGTACCAGGATGGGCTGTCCTGGGAAAGTAAAGACAGCCGGCGTAATGCTGACCACATTACCCACCGAGTGCTGATGGTCTGTAAAAATATGGGCGCTCTTCCCATATGCCCGATACGCGTAAAGGCGTGGAAAAGGATCTTAACCTTTTTTTTTTTTTACTTACATGACAACCACTAGACAGAAATCTACAAGTAACCCTCTGTGGGATGCTTTACGGCATAAAAAGTAGGTCACAAGAAGACAGACGGTCGGTCTAATCGGACAGCTTGTTCAAAGAATGACTTCAACATCTGCTTCTTCTTCTTTGTTTACCTGCTGCAAGCTCTGACGGAAAGTCTTGATTGTTCGTCAATTTGGACTTTGTGCCAGGGTTGCCAGATAAAAAACTTCATTTTATGCCAAACCATTAACCAAAATATGCCATTAAAATGCCAAATAAAGTAAAACATTGCACCCACTTCACATTAAAAGCTCTAGATTAAATCCTTCACTGTCCCCCTCACTGGAACCAGTGGAAGATAGAGTGTAAACCTTTTGAGACGTAAAATCATCAAATATTTTCTCAGATGGAATAAAGTCTTTGCAACTCATCTATAATGATGGCATATTTTTTGGTTCCGAAAATCATCAATCAAGAGCCGTGGGTATGTTTTCTTCCAGTTACTATTCTGCTTGTAATGTCATAAGATGCTTTCCATTTTTTGGATGACGTGACCATTGGTAAAATTAATAAAATCTATTACAGATATAACTAGGTCTATATCCTCTCTATTTTCTGTCCTCAAGTAGTTTATGAACAGTTTAAATCACTTGGTATCAATGATGGGTTTTAGTTTTATATCCTGCATTTATTCTTGTAAATCAATATAAATTACTGAGGGCCTTGGTTTATCAAAGTCGCGATCCGTTTAGGAAGACAACAAATACAATAAGAAATGGCGCGAATCTCCATTAGTCCGTACCAGGACATCACAACAAAGTCAAACTGAAATAAAGATGTTAACTGTAGGTCTACAGTGCTTTTAGTAAATCTGCGTGTTTCTAACGGAGGAACCATCAAGAAAATGTGAGCACATCTTGATAAGAAAAGCCAGGAAAAAAACAAAAAATGCCAAAATATGACAGTTTATCAGTTTTATTGGCTTATTTTGGTGCATTTGATTGTTCCTTGCCGCTTGGGCAGATGCACTCCTACTTTGAAGAAAAATCCCAATTAGTCGTCTCCTACGACATGCTTTTGTGGAGGCAATGGGTATGTTCCTGTTTTCCCCACAAAAGCGCCCTGGAACCCACACGGGGAGAACTTCAACATCTTATCGTCACCGAATTTGCTGACTGTTATTCTGCGGTTGTTACTTTTTAGTTGACAACTCATTAAACAAATTGGTAGCAATTATCAAGACAGTAAAACTACGGACATTTTATCGTGTCTGGTCGCAAGCCGCTATTGTCTTAACTGCCGTTGTATTCCTTCCAATGTGTCTGCCGTTAGCTAGACTACTGTCGATTCGATCCTGCCCAAAAGGTCAGAAGATTAAATAGAAAGTGAAGTCGACGGGCGACAAAGTTAGTTTTGCTCTCACACGTATCGACACGGGCGATACCGCTGGCGGGGGAGATGGCGAGGGAGAAAAAAGTAGGCGAGGGGGAAAAGGAAGAGGGGAGGGGAGGTTGTATTTTAAGATTTGTTAGTGGGCAGATTTAGAGTGAAAAGAAAAGCAAACAAGAAAGAAAGGAGAGGGTGTACAGGAAAGAGGGGGTGGAGGGGTACAGTTAGGACTTGTAGGTGAAACAATGACAGTAGCTGACAGAAAAATCTAAACGACTCTAGGAAAGACTGAAAGACAGATGTGTATTTGGGTAGCTATGTTGCAAAGTGGGGCATGGTAGCACGAGAGAAATAACAGTGTAACTACAACAACAACAACTACTACTACTAATTTTACTACTACTACTACTACTACTACTACTACTACTACTACTACTACTAGTAGAAGCAGTACTACTACTATTACTACTACTATTACTACTACTACTACTACTACTACTACTACTACTACTACTACTACTACTACTACTAACTACTAACTACTACTAGTAGTAGTAGTGCTACTAGTACTACACTGCTACAACTACTGCTAATACTACTACCACCACCATTACTATTACTACTACTACTACTACTACTACTGCTGCTGTTGCTGCCACACGGCTGCTACTACTACTACTACTATAAAGTGGGGAACAATCAAATAAGAACACATTTAAATATGAAGGAAAACAGAAAAGTGGGAATTTACCTATTATCCTGTTGCGCCATTATATGTCATATATAGCTCTCGGGCTATTCCAATTTAGTGCCATTTTCTCTGTCTTATAACTGTTGTTACTAGTGATGGCCTAGATATTTCTCTTATAACTGTTGTTACTAGTGATGGCCCAGATATTTCTTTTATAACTGTTGTTACTAGTGATGGTCCAGATATTTCTCTTATAACTGTTGTTACTAGTGATGGTCCAGATATTTCTCTTATAACTGTTGTTACTAGTGATGGCCCAGATATTTCTCTTATAGCTTTTGTTACTAGTGATGGCCCAGATATTTCTCTTATAACTGTTGTTACTAGTGATGGCCCAGATATTTCTCTTATAACTGTTGTTGCTAGTGATGGCCCAGATATTTCTCTTATAACTGTTGTTACTAGTGATGGCCCAGATATTTCTCTTATAGCTTTTGTTACTAGTGATGGCCCAGATATTTCTCTTATAACTGTTGTTACTAGTTATGGCCCAGATATTTCTCTTATAACTGTTGTTGCTAGTGATGGCCCAGATATTTCTCTTATAACTGTTGTTACTAGTGATGGCCCAGATATTTCTCTTATACCTGTTGTTACTAGTGATAGTCCAGATATTTCTCTTATAACTGTTGTTATTAGTGTTGGCCCAGATATTTTTCTTATAACTGTCGGTACTAGTGATGGCGCAGATATTTCTCTTATAGCTTTTGTTACTAGTGATGGCGCAGATATTTCTCTAACAACTGTTGTTATTAGTGCTGGCCCAGATATTTCTCTTATAACTGTTGGTACTACTGATGGCGCAGATATTTCTCTTATAACTATTGTTACTAATGATGGCGCAGATATTTCTCTTTTTTCTTCACTTATTTTAAATTAAAATAATAATAATAAAAATCACTTAAAAGGTGGAAATAGACATAATATAATCGAGAAAAGAACAATCAACTGAATGATGAGGACAGGGTATAAGAAACTGTTTGGCATAGACTGATGTTGTCTGGGCAATCGTAGACACGACTTCTGGTCGGGACCCTAGATCACTCAGTATGGATTCTAAATATTTGAAAAGACTGACTTGTGTTAATTTGTGATCTGAAACTTATATTGGTACAGTTGTGCCAGCTGGACTGCTGGTCATTATTTTGTGTTTCCTATCTGTATTTATTTTCATACCAAACTTGGTCGATGTTTCATCAAGAAGGATCACCAGTTCAACTGGTTCTTCTTCTTCCTCGGCCAGTCAGTCGATGGCTTCTAGTTATTATTACGTTTACATATGACTCTAAAACGTGGACCTTAACAGCAAAACTTAAAAAGAAGATCCAAGCATTGCAGATGAGATCTTTACGAAAAATGCCTGGCATAGAGACCACATCACAAATGAGGAGATTCGCAGTATTGGGACCTATGAACCTCTTTTGATTACAGCGAACAGATGCAGAATGCAATGGTACGGCCAAGTAATAATAACTGACGGCCTTTCAAAAACACTACTACAAGGCTCAGTGGAGGGGAAGAGGCAGACCAAGAAAGACTTGGATAAAGAATTTGACTGAATGGCATACAAGTCTGTCGCATCTGACCTTAGAAGATTGAGTGTTACGGGATGATGATGATGCCGAGGAGAAACTAACAATGTTAAGCAAATAATAAACGAAAAAATACTTCAAGACTGTAAAAAAAAAAAAAAAAACTAGAAGATACTGAAGAAGATGACGAAGAAGCAGAAGCCGAAAAAGAAGTAGAAAAAGAAGTACCCAAAAAAAATAGAAGAAGAAGAAAAAGAAGAGAATGTAATGTTGTTGTTGTTAATGATGATAATGTGCGTGTAAAATGATGATGATTAAGATTAGGAGATGGTGATAGTAGTAGAAGTTAAAAAAAAAAGAAATAATAGTAAAAACAACAGTAGCAACAACACAATAACATTGTTGTCCTTATGTCTGTCACAAACAGAGCACTAGATCATCCATACAAGATTTGCACACGACGCAACATCCGCCGGAAGAAGACGTGTGCTGCAATGGTATTCTGGGATATGCCTCCGACAACATGTCCTTGAACTTTCCGTGTCAAAACCGGCCATGTTGCAACAGCAGTGATACCGTTGCAGTGGTGGCCATCGACTTTGCTATGGGCTTCAAGTTTCAGTGTATGGTGAGGCATCATTTCTGAGTCTGTTGCCGTTGTTAGTGATTTATCTGTGAATCAATCAGACAGTAAGGTATTTGTCTGTCTAGTGGTGTTGTCAATTATTTGTATGGGAAACTGCGAGGCAATACATCATTTGTCCGACCCGTAATGTAGAAAGTAATTTGTATAAAAATCAGACAGTACATCATTTGTCCATCAATTCTTGTAGTCGGTGATTTAAATGAGAACCAGTCAGACAGTACATCTTGTGTCCGTCACTTGGTATAGTCAGTGTTTTATATGAGAACCAGTCAAACAGTACATCTTGTGTCCGTCACTTGGTATAGTCAGTGTTTCATATGAGAATCAGTCAGACAGTACATATTGTGTCCGTCACTCGGTATAGTCAGTGTTTTATATGAGAATCAGTCAGACAGTACATCTTTTGTCCGTCACTTGGTATAGTCAGTGTTTCATATGAGAATCAGTCAGACAGTACATTTTGTGTCCGTCACTCGGTATAGTCAGTGTTTTATATGAGAATCAGTCAGACAGTACATCTTGTGTCCGTCACTCGGTATAGTCAGTGTTTCATATGAGAATCAGTCAGACAGTACATCTTGTGTCCGTCACTTGGTATAGTCAGTGTTTTATATGAGAATCAGTCAGACAGTACATCTTGTGTCCGTCACTCGGTATAGTCAGTGTTTCATATGAGAATCAGTCAGACAGTACATCTTGTGTCCGTCACTCGGTATAGTCAGTGTTTTATATGAGAATCAGTCAGACAGTACATCTTGTGTCCGTCACTCGGTATAGTCAGTGTTTTATATGAGAATCAGTCAGACAGTACATCTTGTGTCCGTCACTTGGTATAGTCAGTGTTTTATATGAGAATCAGTCAGACAGTCAGACAGTAATCTTGTGTCCGTCACTTGGTATAGTCAGTGTTTTATATGAGAATCAGTCAGACAGTACATCTTGTGTCCGTCACTTGGTATAGTCAGTGTTTTATATGAGAATCAGTCAGACAGTACATCTTGTGTCCGTCACTCGGTATAGTCAGTGTTTTATATGAGAATCAGTCAGACAGTACATCTTGTGTCCGTCACTCGGTATAGTCAGTGTTTTATATGAGAATCAGTCAGACAGTACATCTTGTGTCCGTCACTCGGTATAGTCAGTGTTTTTATATGAGAATCAGTCAGACAGTACATCTTGTGTCCGTCACTCGGTATAGTCAGTGTTTTATATGAGAATCAGTCAGACAGTACATCTTTTGTCCGTCACTCGGTATAGTCAGTGTTTAATATGAGAATCAGTCAGACAGTACATCTTGTGTCCGTCACTTGGTATAGTCAGTGTTTTTATGAGAATCAGTCAGACAGTACATCTTGTGTCCGTCACTCGGTATAGTCAGTGTTTTATATGAGAATCAGTCAGACAGTACATCTTTTGTCCGTCACTCGGTATAGTCAGTGTTTAATATGAGAATCAGTCAGACAGTACATCTTGTGTCCTTCACTTGGTATAGTCAGTGTTTAATATGAGAATCAGTCAGACAGTACATCTTTGTCACTTGTTAGGGTCAGTGATTTACATGAAAATCAGTCAAAAATTACACTATTTGTCCTATCTTTGTTGTAGTTAGTGATTTATTTTGAATCATTCAGGCAGTTCATCCTGTGTCTGTCCATTGTTGTAATCGGTTATTTTTATGGGAATCAGCTAGACGATATATTATTTACAGCAATAATATTAGTAGTAGCAGTTGCAGCAGCAGCAGTAATAGTAGTATTTCAACTGCCATTGCTACCAGTAGCAATAGTAGTATTACTGTTGCTGCTACAAACGTCTTGTACTAAGGACTACTTATCACATTTGGCAAAGTAATCCATTTAATAAAGTACTGCGGTTTTTTTTTTTTTTTAAGTTACCAAATTTGTATGACTGTTTGTTTGTATGATCTGTTTATTACCAGCATTATCCATAATCCACAGCCACGCAGGAGCATCCAGCCTCTCTGCTATGAAACTGGAACGGAAGTTCGAACAACCAATCAAGACCCCGATTTCATCCCACGGACCTGCTGCCAGGGGTTAAAGTTCAAGGTTGTGGTCAACCAATGGTACGCTGCTATGGTTATCAAATGTGTAGAAGAACAAGATGGCGACAGCTCGTCTTGACGAACAAATGGAGTCCATTAACTTTACTGTGCAGTAAATTTGGTCAGCAAGAGAGGAATCATTGGCTGCTACACTTGTGAATTTTTTGTGTTTGAAAAAAAAATGGCTAAATAAATTGTAAATTTTTCATTTTCATTTTGTGTCACGAAAGAAAAGATCAATTTAGACGAAAAGAATCAAGACAGAATATCAAACCAAACAAAAAGACAACCAGTCAGCTCAAAATTCTCACAAACATAAACAACAAATAAACGTTGTTGCAAAAGAGCCTTCCTCAGCGCATAACAGGAATAAACAAAGCCACTAACACAAACAAGAATATACAAAAATCACTTAACTCAAGTAGGGATAGAATAATTAAAACGGTAATAGGAAAAATACTATACAGACGAGTTAGACGGTCAATAATTTATAATAGCAGTTTTCAGCAGACGAGACACCGGAGACAAAAACACAGTCATATTCATAGAAATTACGTCGCTACTAGAAAGCCTAGTGCTTTCTCCTTAGCTGACCACAAATAACGTCGCGGAACAGTCCAATATTTTAGAGGCGGGTAAGAGCGGGTTTTCCGTGTTTTCTGTTCTATAGCGCGTTTCTTCCAAGGCCAAGGTTTACGCGCGTTCACCTAACACTAACTCAAACCCTAACCCCAACCCTTACTCCAACCCTAACCCCAACCCTAACTCCAACCCTAACCCCAACTAACCCCAACCCTAACTCCAACCCTAACTCCAACCCTAACTGTAACTCCAACCCTAACCCCAACCAAACCAAAACTATACATTTAATCTACCACCCGCTGAAATACTTGAACCCTTAACCAGCATATGACACGAAGAATTATACTAATACAAAGGAAAATGCATAAAATTAAATCTTTAGTTGGGTCACGAAATCTCCACCAATGTTAGAGCAACTAAAACTGTGTCGTGTTTCTTGCAGGAAATGGTCCAGAGAGGAAGGACTGGTAGGCAAATGAGAAGTTACGAAAGGGGACACAACATCAAACTTTATGGTTAAATTGTATTAGACATCAAGTCTCTTCTGAGACAGGAAATCCAGTATGCAGATGAAATGATTTTCTGTACTGATGTTTTAGCAAGCTCACAAATTTGAATTTTAATCTGTGTTGTACATTAAGACCCTTAGGAGAGAGAAGACCCAACAAGCAGATAAGACTATTCTCAAGACTGATTTTATAGCAAGTTTACAAATTCGTGAACAGTGTCCTGCGATTATTACTAAAATTATCCAATGTACTGTAGTAAAATTTTGCAAAAGTTTAACCATCTGGCACACAATGTTCTCGTCAACCCCTTGTGGGTTGCAATTTTTTAGTTTTTTTTTAAGCCCCAAACTGGCTTTTGCCGTGGGCCCTAAATATAACCGTGCCATAAATAAGGCCAAACGGCTTGAAGTAGTTTCCGGGACATCTAGACGGGTGATCCTCATCCGCATGGTGACACTTTGTGTCACTGGGTGTTTATCGCGTATGTGATGTCCTGATGGGGTACACCTTACATACATACAGACCTCGCATACAAAGGACAGCAGTTGACTTCCTAACCACAGGAGTTCCAGTATCACTGTTTGATATGTTGAACAGGGTATATAACATTCGACAAGTGACTGAGAAAGTCCCTGAGTGTCAGTCGTTTGTTTTATGTTGTACTCTCTGAGCGGAAATCGTTTTTAAGTAATTCGGGGTCTTTGATCGTCCTTGACACTGAGATTTTGTAGAAGGATATATCCACAAACAACCTGGACTGTATGTACATGCTTTTTTTTTTTGTTAAATAATTTTTAATTTTCATTGATGCATGCGGTAAAACGAACAATTGTGCCCAGACAACAACTTTTACTGTGAAATGCAGCATTCTTTTTTATACAGGTTCACTGGGTCTAAAACATTCGCAACGTTTTGAATAAACAAAGTTCGCTCTAAAAACACAGTTTGTGGTGTCGTACGTTGTCTTCTGAAAGGAAATTAGTGCAATGTATGTAAACCCAACCCACCCATCGCCCCCACCCTCCGGCCGCCTCTGGCACCCAAGATGTAAAATAAAGAAGAAAATGTTCACAGGATCTGATTTTGCTAAGTGCATAATAATAATAATAAAAATAATAATAATAATAATAATAAAAATAATAATAATAATAATAATAATAATAATAATAATGATTTGTGTAAGACATTTTAGCTAGTAGTCCAGACAGCTTTATTATAAACTTTGTTATAATGCTAATCAGGAAATATGCATGCAGTCTAGTTGTTGGGTATACAGATAGAGATGCAGAGGCAGACCACTCTAATATCGACAGATGGAATATGAGAGTCCCAGGGGAAATCAGGCATATGAAACTGTTTGTTTACAACTCGACAACACAGGGGACAGAATATGCTTCTTTTAATTCTACAGTCAATGGCCATGCGCACAATCCACTATCGGTCATAAACGGAGATGTCTTACTAATTCTCTTATACCAGTCGTGGGATGCAATTTTTGTAATTTAAAGCCCCACCTCGGCTTTTGCAGGGCGCTCTGAATATAGCCAAGTCGTAAATATGGTCTAACGGTTGAACAGGGTTTTTGGAACCTCTTCGCGGGCAATCCTTCTGCATGGTGGCACTTACTGTCACCGAGTGTTTATCACTTGTGTGATGGCCTGGTGGGGTACAACAAGAGAAAGAGTTTTCTGCTCGAGGCTTCTCGAAGTTTCTCCAGAGCTTAGTTATCAGGTCTACTGGGCGTGGCCACAAGTTGATTCGCAGCTTCTCAAGAAAAAAAAAAAACTGTCTTGCGCGACAAGTCTGAAGTCTGTTAAACATGCAGACATTGGCAGAGAGTTGTTGGTCTTCTATACATATTTTAGATGAGTATTTGTTGTTGAGTCTGCAATTCTTCTTCTACTTCCTCTCTTCTTCTTTGTTCACCGGCTATTAGCTCAAGAAGATAGTCATGGTTTTTCGTCCACTTGGACTTTAGCTTTGTGCCAGAGCCTGAGTTTTACGTGTACATCCGTTTTACTGTCGTAGCTGTGTGCAGCTGGTTGTTCCATGCCAATCTGGGGCAGTTGTAATGTCTAGTGCTTTAGATGAAATGACGTCAATAGTCGTCGAACTGTGATCTAGAAATCATGCTTAAAATATTCTAAGAGCACCAGCAGATCGGTTGTCCATACCTAGGGTCACTGTATGTCTTGTTTTCACCCGGACACCCGGCTGTCCTGTCGGTACTCAACGTAAATTGCCCGTTTTATAAAAATATAGAAATTAGCTAGAGAATACAACATAACACTTATGGTTATATCTGTAGATCTTAATTAGATTTCTAAGTTGTAGATACTTTTATTGTTGATAGAAAGGTTTCATTGTAGGATTTCCCCCTGGTGCAGTTAAAAAGCATATTGTTTCGTTTATTTCTTGGTGATATTGTTCCAGTTTTAATACTGTTGTCGATTAAGTAATTGATCCTGTCACCACATTTGCGGCGAAAAGAAAATCAGGGAAAGGGAGATGGGGGGTATAGTTTAACTGACCGAATTTTTTGGCTTTCACTAAGGAGAAGCAGAGTTCGCATCCTTTTTAAATCTCAATCACACCTTGAACGTTTTCATTTGAAGCTTCCTCATACAGCGTCATGCGAGTAAAACTGACCTCATCAGCAGAAACAAACAACTTCGTCATCACGCTGCATTACAGTTATAGGAATTTTATTTTATTTATTGATTCGCCAGTATAATGCGTATACTGCCACAGTGACATTATGTGTTACATTTGCTGCTTCATTTAGATAACACAAGTAAATTTCCATGCATGTAATAATTATATTATAAGTATTATGTTGTAATGATTGATGATATTTCTGCTTTCACAAATGTCACCAGAACAACAGGAGTAGCAGCAACTGCTACATCTACCACGGATACTACTACTACTACCACCACCACCACCACTACTACTATTTCTACTACTCCTATTACTACTGATACTTTTACTACTACCACTAATACTACTAATACTTTTACTACTACAATTAATAATACTACCACTACTACTACTACCACCACCACCACCACTACTACTATTTCTACTACTCCTATTACTACTGATACTTTTACTACTACCACTAATACTACTAATACTTTTACTACTACAATTAATAATACTACCACTACTACTACTAGCACCACCACCACCATCATTACAAACACCACCACCACTATCATTACAATAGCAGTTTCTTGTCCTAGTTCTAGACTATGACACTCTCGATGTCCAGGTAAATTAGAGAAAAAAAAATCATTGCAGACGTTAGTACGACAGACAAATATTGTGACACTTTGAAAATAATGCTCTTTCGTTCGTTCTTTCGTTCCTTTGCCCATTCGCTCGTTCGTACTTTCGTTCGTTCTCAGCATTATATGTGCCTCCAGAAAACGTATAAATCAACAAATTTAAGGAGTTTGAGGCTAGATATAAGAATACTCCCAGAAATAAGGGATGTACTAGAAGACCCATCCATGAAGTTTACAGTTAGTGTCTTGCTGGGGCCAGCAGCACACACTTTACGTCATTAGCCAAGGGAGTCTGAGTATCTATTGCTTTCTCTGAGAGCTTTAATATTGGTTCTCCAAACCAGGAAACCGCATATCTGTACACAACCACCTACTTTGTACGGACTTCGTGTTGCTTCGCCACAGGGCTGTCGAAATTGTTTAGGTAATAGTACACAACTATTGCTATTAGTACTATGTTTATTATTATTATTTTTAGTTGATGAAACTTGGTGTCACCAACTGGTAAGAGAAGGCCAACCAGAGAGATAAATGGAGGCGGTTAATATCTGTAGCAATGAACCTCGAGGGCTTGGAACGCTGACGAAGAAGAAGATTATTATTATTATTATAATTATTATTATTATTTGGGAGAGGAGCCAAAACACACCAATAGGTTCACAATT